CTATTTTATCTAACAAAGAATGAAAAAAAAATTAAATTGCTTGTCCAGAACATTTATATTGCCGTGATTCTCTTTCCTCCTTGAGCTGATAAAAACTGCCATATGGTCTAAATAGTGACTTGCCTATTTAGACAACAGTATAATATGTCTATTGCATGATGAAACACTAACTCCCTGCTGAGAAATTGGAACAGTAGTCAGCTATCCTCAGCTGGAAGGACACTGTTCATTATATCCTGCAATCTGGATTCTGTTCTGTAACAAAACATTGAACAGGACTTTATTTAAAGTTCTTTAGCTCACAAATATGTAGCAGATTTGAAAATTAACTATGGCCATGATCCTCTTTTCACTAAAATCAATATTAAAACTCCCACTGATTTCAGTGGTGCAGTCAAGGCCCAGATGTGTACCTCTGTGTACCCAGATGGAGCAGGCTCCCTAGCATTAGGACTGCAGTGGCAGACAGGTAGGGTGGGCTGCAAGGCTGAACTACATGCCGATGAGTAGTGCTGACCAAATTCACAGTCCATTTTGGTCAATTTCACAATGATAGGATTTAAAAAATGGCAAATTTCATTATTTCAGATATTTAAATCTGAAATTTCATAGTGTTGTAATTGTAGGGGTTCTGACCAAAAAAAGAGCTGAGTGAGGGTCCCAACCTTATTGTGGGAGGATGCAGCACTGCTATCCTTACTTCTGCACTGCTGTTAGAGGCCTGGGCAGCTGAAGAGTGATGACTGTTGTCTGAGAGTCCAGCTCTGAAGGCAAAGCCACTGGTAGTGTAACCACCACTGGGTGGATTTGAATCTGGGACCTCTGGAGCTTAGTGTAGGAGTTGCTATAGCTTGAGCTATAAAGGCAACTGGCTCCTACCTTAGGCTGGAGAGCTCCCTTGTTCTTATTTCTTGCTGTACATGGTCTAGGTGCCACTATATGGGACAGTGAACCATACTAGGTGTGTGGGTTATATACTTCCCCCTAGCTGAGGAAATGCAGCTAGAGCTTCAGAGACCCAGTTGAGATCCCAGACAAGCCCCCATTTGTAACCACCACCCAACAGATTTGAACTTGGGACTTCTGGAGCTTAGTGTAGGAGCCTCCATAGCTTGAGTTAGAAAACCAACCTGTTTTCAGTTTAGACTGTAGAGCTCTCTTGTGCTTATCTCTTGCTGTAAGTGATCTAAGTGCCATTACATGGGACAGTGAGCCATACTAGTTGTATGGGTGGGTTACATCAGCAGCACAGAAGTAGGGATGGCACAGTGTGGTTTTGCCAGCCTTAATTATGCACTGCTGCCCATAGAGCTGAGACCTTAGTCAGCAGCTGCCACTTTCCGGGTGCCCAAGTCTGGAAGCAGCAGCACAGAATTAAGGGTTACAGGATATGGTATTGTCACGCTTACTTCTGCACTTCTGCAGGTAGGGTGCTGCCTTCATAGCTGCGCACACAGCCAACAGTACAGCCATCACTCTCCAGTTACCCAGTGCTGAAGGCTGCACAGAAATAAGGGTGGCAATACCATGGCCCTCCCAAAGAAACCTTGTGATCCCCCTTCAACTTCTTTTTGGGTCAGGACCCCCAATTTGAGAAACTCTGATCATCCCCCCACACCACCATGAAATCTGGATAGTACAGAGTAAAAGCACACAAAAGGCCAGATTTCATGGGAGGACAGTACAAGATGCATTCTGCATGGCTGTGAATTTGGTAAGGCCCTACTGATGAGATAAAGGAGCTAGGGATGCAGGGAGGAGCATGTAGCTGGTGCATGGGACACAGATGGGAAAAGACAAGTCGCTGGAGGGCAGTCCTTGGATGGTAAACTAGATTCAGGAAAAGTCCCTGGATTGGGGATTGAGTGTTGGGGGCAGTCCATGGGTTGGCAGCTGGATCCTGGAGAGGGCAGTCCCTATGGGGTTGTATTACACTGGAGTATCTACAGGGCAGGTATGTGTGCTAGCCCAGTGTTGGGGGTATCTGGATGCTGAAGGCACAATTCCAGGTAGGCTGGGTGATGGTGAGACATTACCTGAGGCGGGGGAAGGCAGTGTAAGGGAGAGGCTGGGGAATAGTCCCTTGCTAAGGTGCTGAGTGAATCAGGGTAGACAGGGCTGCTCCCATCTTTGTAGGCAGGCTTCACAGCTGTGCAGCACACAAGTGAGGGTGGCAATATACCATGCCATCCTTACCGTTATTTAATTTGAACACATTTTGACATATTTTGCTAATTTAAAATGCTCTAGGTAGACATTTGCCCATATTGAAATGAAAGGTACTATATTGATTTGATTTATATTGCTGACATATAACAAACACTAAACCTTATTTGTTTTAGATTGATAAGTAGTATGTATAGTATGTGGATGCGGCCCACATTACACACAGCTTTATACGCAGACCATAATGGTGAATAGGTCAGGAACCACTGACCTAAAGAATCTCCAAATGAATCTCTGGCTGCATTCTACCTGCTATCAGCTATCGAACCTCCTACCCTTCCAGTGGGGAAATTGTGCCACCAGAGCACAGACTACAACTATGGTATCACTTCAGGATATTTCCCTTTTTGACATCTGTAAGACAGCCATGTGGGGCTTGATTCTCATGTTTGCATAACATGACCCAGTCAAGGAATCCTTTGCTGATGCCTCCTTTGGGATGGCAGTCCTCTGCTCAGGTCTACCATCTACACCCTAGTACCCTCCTCCTACTTATGGTGATCATGCAAAAACCATAGTAGGATCACACATCTCAAAGAACCTTCAGTTATAGGTCAATAATTGCCCTTTTATCCACTGCTGGCTAGTACTGGTTATTTCTAGGAGCCAATTTGCCCCTTACACTCATTATTTTTCTTCTCTTTGCTCCTTGAAAAGGTCTTCCTTGTGCTACTCTGAACTACTAAAGAGCAAAGTCATTTATTTCTTCTCTATTTAATTGTTCTTAGTTACATCATTCAGGCATCTAGAGATGCCCATCAAGAAAGTCTCCTATGTGTTGTTACAGGAAATTCTGCTTGCTGACTTAGATTTGTAACTCCACATATTTTACACTCAGTTTTACATGGTGCAGCTATAGATGTACCTTTGTTTGGTCAGGTGTCTTTGGAAATGTATATTGTGTATGTGTGGAAATTGACCTACTTATTTAAATACTGACATGTAGGAAGATAACTGGTGAGCATCACTCATTTAGCCTCTTAGTTTGGATTGTTGCTCATATGCTTTAGCATTACAGATCATCAGTATGAATGCGCATAATCCTTAAAACATCTGTAACTTAAAATTTTTACTGCATATGTTACTTTGACTTTTTTTAAAAGTACATGTGCATTGTAATTGATCCACTTTCCATATATTTTGAGGTGTATTGTGCCATCTGTGAAGCACTCCCATGACATCTAAATACAAAATGATTCCCATTTAATTAAACTGTTGAGTTAATCACGGTTATGTAAAAGGTGGACTATAAAAACAAATGGTCGTCGCTTGTATTTTTTAGTGCTTTCAAATAGCGATTTCTCATTAGGACTGTGCTTAGCATTTGTTTTATAGTGTTCCAGGGACCAATTGTCCGAAAAGATTGTGTAATTACAGTAAACCTACATAAGAATTGAAGTACAGATTCATTGCTGCCTAACACCTAAAATCATTAATTGGAACTGAAGAAATAGTTAAGAATTGAGGAAGAAAAATAAAAGTGTTTGACACTTTCAGTGTCAAAGGGATGGTGACGTCTCGTGCCAGCCTCAGATGAGAATATCAGTGTGTGCTGGATCACAGCCCTTTGCCTTTTATACTAAAGGACACTTCTGCTTCTTCAAGCTATTTACAAATATTTTCTCCATTATTGTTTATATAGTATAGTCTTGTTAAACCAGTTAAATATTGAGAAGTATTGTGACAACTAGGCACCAGACATGGTATATATTTGTTATTCTATTTGACACCTATGAGACTCATTTAAGTTATGACCACCAGCCTCCTGTCCCACAGCATTGTAGGCCCTGGCAGGCTTGTTGCCAGGCTTGTTGCCCTGGCAGGACCAACTCTTCTGGCCTCCAGTTCCCCAGCCACAGGATGAGGTACATTCCCTCCTGTCCCCACACCAGCTCCACCCCCAGGCTCCTGACCAGGGCGACAGTTCCCTGACTGTGGGACTGGTTCCACTCCAGCCCCCTCGCCGGGCATTTGGACACCAGTTCCCCAGCTGCAGGACTGGCTCTGCTTCTAGGCCCCAGCCGGGCACTGGGGCCACTGGTTCCAAGCCACTGAACCGGCTCCACTCCTGGCCCCTGCTTGGGCTCCATACCTGTTCCCCAGCTACAGGACTGACTCCACTCCTGGCCATGGGCAGGGATCCACCCATTGCCCCCTTCAACCACTGGTCTCCCAGCCACCCAGCAACATCTTTGGTCCTGACAGATCACGGATGTTGCCGGGTGATAGAGTCCTGGATCAGTGAGGTTCTACCTGTAGTAAACTTAATTAATAGCCCACATTTTCTCCATATTAATATTCAAAAGTTGTAACTCTTATAACCATTATTAAATGTTTGTATTATATGTATTGTAAGCATTAAATTGTGCTAGCAAACTTGTTGGAATATTAACCCAGTCCCTCCACGCACATGAATCTTTCTACTGAAATCAGCAGAACTACTTGGGCAAGTCAGATCAGCAAGATACATTTGAAACTGGGTAGATTATTTTAAACATATTGAGAAGCATCATGTAAAAGATTAATTGTTATGTACATGGTTGGAAAAAATAAGCAAAAACTGTTGCCTTTCAGTCACACTGATTTCCTTCAATTTAGAGAAGAGAACCTTCAGAATTACTCTTGGAACGCTGATAAGCAGCAGCAATGAAATTGGTGCTGTGTACTGAATTTTTATTTGTTATCACCAAGTTGCTTTCTAATTGTGAAGTTTCACATGGTTCACTGACCTTTTCATTTCCTCTGTGTGTGTCTTTGTGTTTTGTCCTCTTTAGAGATTTGCCTTTTGACTAAGGGCCGTCGTACTGCCAGTGTAAGAGCTGACACATACTGCCGACTCTATTCCCTCTCTGTGGACAATTTCAATGAGGTTCTGGAGGAGTACCCCATGATGAGGAGGGCCTTTGAAACAGTAGCCATTGACAGACTGGACAGAATAGGTATTATTTTATTTAATATTTGACTTTATTCTTAAAACATTATCTTTTTTTCTGAGTGGAAATGTAATATTCCAAAATTAAATCCTTTTTTTTTTAATTACTATATTGTTCGACTGCAGGAAATGTTCTGTTGACTTATGAATAAGAAATGTGGTAAAACAAGAAGCTCTGCAAGGTTGTTATTAAATAATAAAAAACACTCTTTAGAAAGCTCTTGCAAACTCCCCTGAATTTTTTCTGTACCTTAATTATCATGATGATTATAATTGTTAATTATGTGTTGTGCTGTTAATATATACTCCATTGTCAGTGCTATATGTTAGTGAAAATAGATAATATGCTCCTGCCTCGTATAGTTTATACTCAGAAAAAACAATGCTGAGATGAAGTGAGTGTTTTCAGCCCCCACAGAAGCTAATGGGAAATGAAGCCTTTCTATGCTTTGCTTGAAGGTCTCATTTACCTCACAAGTGGAGTGCTATGCATTTGACTTCCAAAGATGCTGAGAACCGACAATTTGAATCGAAATGTTTGTAGTCTGCAGATATTCAGAAAATCAGTTCCAAGATATCAAGTAAAAAACAAAATGATGAGGTAGAGTCTCTACTACATGAAGTCTTTAAATCACAATTAGATTTGTTCCTCAGAATTATGTTCTAGTTCAACTGTGGTTGAGGGCTTAAAACAGAAGTCATTTGACCTTTGTTATGCAGGAGATTAGACAAGATTAACACAGCGGTTCCTTTTTGTTTTAAAATCTGTGACTCCCACAGGGTGCTGGGCACCTTGAACTCTTACAAGCATCTTCTGTGATCAGATCCTCACAGAATTTATATTCAGAAGGGTATTGCAACTGGAGCTTAAACACTTCACAAAAGGAGTTTAGGTTTAGCAATCTCTTCAAGTGGAGATTATAGGGAGCTTGAAGTATACTACTGGTTGGAGTGCAAGAATCACCAAGGAAGAAAGTGTGTACTACTTAAAATATGCTATGAGAAACAGGCAAAGTATTCAATATTTATAACATATCTTTGCTAATAATTAATCAGTCTATACTGCAAAGTTAATTTGAAATAACAGCCGTTATTTCGAATTAACTTTAATAGCGTCTATACATGCAAACCGCTATTTTGAAATTAATTTGAAATAGCGGAGCGCTTAATTCAGATTTGGTAAACCTCATTCTACGAGGAGTACACCAAATTCGAAATAGCTATTTCGAATTAAGTGCTGTGTAGACACTTAATTCAAAATAGGGGGCCTCCAGCCCTTCCCAGGGAGCCCTGGTGGCCACTCTGGGCACAACCAAGAAAACTTACTCTCCTCTCCCCCAACCCCGGACCCATTAAAGGGGTAGACCCTGGCCACAGTGCTTGTGCCAGTTCCAAGCCTGCCAGCCCAGAGCCAGCACTGGCCACCGGGTCCCCTGACCCAGTGGCCCCAAAACATGAGCCAGCAAGCCACTGGCAGCCAGCCTTCCACCGCTCCCCAGGAGCAGTCTGCCAGCTCCCAGGAGCCTGACAGGGGCTGGAGAAGGTGGGTGCCTTCCTGGTCCAGGGTGGAGATCATGGACCTCATTTAGGTTTGGGGGAGATGCCCCCAATGTCCATGATCTCCACACTAGATGGAGGAATGCGGCTGTCTATGGCAGAATAGCTGCCAGCCTGGCCACCAAAGGCCGCATGCGAACCCAAGAGCAGGTTTGCATGAAAATCAAGTTGATCCAGCGAGACCCCCCAACCCTGGGTCCTGAGCTTCCCCTCCCCCTTCTTCACCTTGCTTTCCCCTTCCACTTCCCTCCTCCCAGGTTTTCCCCTCCCCTCTCCCACCCTCTCTCTTCCCCTCTCCCACCTCCTTTTCCCAATCTCCCCAGAGGTTCATCCCCCCTCCAGTTTTGTTCTATAAACCCAGTTTCTATTTTTGAACATACATGTCTTTTGTTTGACATCAGGAAGAGGGGCTAGGGAGGGGTACATGGAAGGACATGAGGGAGGAATGGGGCAAGAGCCCCGAGGGGGAAGGATCCCGGTGGGATGGCTCTGAGGGCTCTGAGGGGTGGACGCTCTACCGCAGGGTCTCCTGAATCCTGACAGCCCTTTGATGGAACCCCTGGATGGCAGCCTGCAGCAAGTGCAGCCGGGCTGATGGCAACAACCCCACGAGACACACCGGCATGCCCAGAGGCAGCTCTGGCTCCATATGGCTGAGTGCTGTGGTGTCCCGAGTGTGGGCACTCAGGGCACTCCAAGCCAGGACTGCTTTGCTGTCCCTCATCAAGGTAGACAGGCAAGCGAGGAACCCTGAGAACTGTCTGTCCGGGGTGGGGGTAGGATCCCTTTAAGCATGGAGCTCAGTTAGCCTCAGGCAGCATTCCCACACACTGAGTTCTAACCTGATGCCCTGCCAGCACTAGTTCTGGCCAGCCTTAACTTCAGTTCAGGATCCACTCAGTATGGACGCGCTATTTCAAAATAGCAAAACGCTATTTCAAATTAGTTTTGTATATAGATGCGTTATTTCAAATTAGTTTAATTCGAATTAACTATTTCGAATTAAGTTAACTCGAATTAACACTGTAGTGTAGACATACCCTAAGGGCATGCCAACACAGCAGGACTAAATCCGAAATAAGCTACCCAACTTGAGCGGCATCATTTGTGTAGCTTAAGTCTAAATAGCTTAATTCAGCTTTTGGTGCCATCTACACAGCAGGAAGTCTGAGAAAGAGCTCTCTTCCTTTGACTCCCTAACTCCTTATAAAATGAGGGTTATGGGAGCTGGAGTAAGAAGTCCTGCAGCTCGCCATTATTTTGAAATTATATCAAAATAACTGCTTGTAGTGTACATGTGGACTATATTATTTCAGAATAATGTCAGCTATTCCTAAACAACACTGCTGTGTAGACGTACCCTTAATGTGCAGGCCTTCCTCGCTATAAGTCCAAGATACATTCCAAAAAACTTGGACTTATAATGAAACAACTTAAAGTGGGGATTTTTTTCCCACAACTGACTTCCATTTGCACAAATTGGGAGGGAGGGGCATGACTTAAAAGTGAAGAATGGGAGGACTTATAACTCATCAGTTCCTACAAGCATTAATGACGTTAATGTGGAACAGATTTTACTGGGGTGACTTATAGCGGGGACACCCTGTATTTAAAAATATTTGTGCCAACATTTTTCAGGCGTAAAAAGGGAGACCAGCTTTTGAGAATGTGCTGCACTGAGTTTGCAAAGCAAGATTTTCAAGCTCTTTTATTCTGGGATCATATCTTTATTTGTGTCTTGCACAGAATTAAGCATGTTATCAATGCTTAACAAATAATAAATATGGTTAATGGTAGTATTAAATAGTTTCTATTAATGTAAGATCAGCGATGATAAAAATAATATAAATTCTCATATAAAAATAACAACAATTGAGTTGGACTTGTTATTTCTGTATGGCTTATTCAATTGCTACCGTCTGCACCTTCACAGATGGGCAGAACACTTTCACAGATGGGCAGGACAGTCATTAGGCAAACCATAAGCTTTGGGAGAGTCCAGGTGTTCAATTTACAGCTATCTTGTTACACAGCCAGGTACCAGTGAGTTTATAAGCAGTAAGTTATAAGGTCACAGGTATTTAGAGAGATTACTTCTCTCAGTCTGGTAGTCACTAGTTACAAATGTCTACTAATTATTTCCTGGAAATGTGCTAAATGTAAAATGTATTTATAATTTATGTAACAGTACAATGTTCAGGAAGTTAGGACAGCTTGATAATGAGAGAGATTATTTTTGTACATTTAGTCTAGTTGTGTTTTCCACCCTCAATTGATAAATTGTCATGGTTACATGTTCAAAATAATTTTAATGATGATAGTACATTATCAGTAAAAGAGGTACCCTTCTGGCACAGAAAGTTCACATCTCAATGCACACTGTGGTTAGGGCAGGCAGTTCAGCTGCAGAGCATCTGGAGTGTGTAGCAGCGTCAGTTGATCTTGGTTGTGTGCGCATTATGAGTGTTACTTCAGAAATACCCCTACCGTGTTTCAGCACTACTCCACAGCTAGGAAAGAAGAACACTTTCATCCTTCACCCTTTAGCCCACCCTGTATGCCGTGGGCTGATGCCAAGAACTTGAGTTGTGCTGCATGACTGATAATAGACTTTGTGTTCTATCACAGTTTTAAGACACTTTGCATGCTCTCATTCACTGAGGCTATGTCTAGACTACACTGATCTATCGGAAAAAGGTACGCAAATTGTGCTCCGCAATTTGCATACTTTTTTCCGATAGTTTTTTCAGAAGAGGCTTTTCTAAAATTTGGCCCATCTACACTGGGCCAAATTTCAGGAAAGCCGCCTCTTTCAGAAGAGCCCTTCTCTGTGGAATGAGGAAGACAGGGCTTCCAAAAGAGCGCATCTGCCCTTCCACAAAAAAAAGCAGAAGAGCAGACATGTTTCCTGGACACAGCAGAGTTTTTCCGGGATACCCCTGGTATCCCAGAAAAAGCCTGTAGTGTAGACATAGCCTGAGTGCAAGAATCTGTTGCTGGTCTCCAGACCTGCTAACCCATCTGCGGTTAAAAGTTTCATAGGAATAGCTGAGTTAGACTGTAACTTAAAAAACAAAACAAAAAAATAAAAATAAAAACTTAAAAAATGAGTGGTCCTGTAGCAACTTAAAAACTAACAAAAATATAGATAGTATATGAGATTTCGTGGGCACAACCCTCTTCCTCAGGTGAATGGATCAAGAGGCACAAGGGGACAAATATAAAGCAGAAAAAGAGGGCAGAAGGGGAGGGGGATAAAAACCCTGTCAATGGGTGTCCAATGCTAAATGAGCCTAATAGATTGGGTGGTAAGTGTCCAATACTTAGCTTCTGACGGCATTTGTGTGTTGAATATAGTGGCCCATCCAGGAAATGTCTTTGTTTGGTCCTTGAGTAAAAGTGTCAAATTTGCATACGAAGGCCAGTTCTGCAGTTTCTCTTAATAGTTGGTCTCTGAAATTATTCTGCATGAGAAGGGCCACTTTTAGATCCATTAATGAGTGTCTGGGCAAGTTTAAATGTTTCCCAACAGGTTTCTCTATGTTACCATTTCAAATATCTGATTTATGTCCATTGATCCTTTTTTCTAAAGGAAAGAAGAATTCACTTCTCCTGCAGAAGTTCCAAAAAGATCTCAATACTGGTGTTTTCAACAATCAGGAGAATGAGATCTTGAAGCAGATAGTAAAACATGACAGAGAGATGGTGCAGGCTGTTGCTACAGTTAGTCTACAGCAAATGCCAGCACTGAATTCTAGCTCTTCAACTACTGCATCATCATCCCGAGTCAGGACACAATCTCCACCTGTGTATACTGCAACCAGCCTGTCTCATGGAAACTTGCATTCTCCAACACCAAGCACCCAGATGCCCCAGCAGGCTGTCATTCTTTCTCCTTGCTCTTATACTACTGCAGTCTGTAGTCCACCAGTACAGAGCCCTCTGGCAGGTCGAACTTTTCAGTATGCATCCCCAACTGCTTCACAGTTGTCACTGATGCAGCAGCAGCAGCAGCAGCAGACACCTAGTTCATCACAGAAAAATGAAGTTCACAAGAGTACACAAGCCCTTCACAACACTAACCTGACAAAAGAGGTGAGGCCTCTCTCTGCCTCCCAGCCTTCATTGCCCCATGAGATTTCCACTTTGATTTGTAGACCTCATCCAACAGTGGGAGAGTCTCTAGCCTCGATTCCACAACCTCTCTCTAGTGTCCAAGGTGCAGGTATGCAGGTTGGGAGCAGAGGCTCTGTCCCTCAGAGAGTTGCTCTCTTCCGTCAGATGTCTTCAGGAGCAATTCCTCCTAACCGAGGCGCCCCACCACCACCAGCTGTTCTACAAAGAGATTCTTCCACAGTCTTAACCACAGATCAAGAAGGAGACAAACCACGATTTGCTTCAAACTTATGATCCTTGTTCACGGACGTTGTCATAAACTGAGAATCATCCCAGAAACTATTTTAGACTGTTTCCTGATAGACCCTGAGAACCTACTATGAAACAAAATATTTTAGACAACTTTGCCCTTCATAATGAATAAAAAGTATAGGTCAAAAATAAATTTAAAAGACTTGGTTAGAATTTTTTTCTTACAATCTTAAAAGGAGTCTAAATTTTGTTGTAATATTTATTTTTAATGTGTGTTGATATTAAGTATCTAGTGTATTTCTTAACTTCTGAAGAGATGTCCTATTTCAGTGGGGGGAATGGACAAAAACAAAACAATGATAATACACTTTATAAGCTAAATGACAGTATTATTTATTCCAAAAAACAAACTTAAAAAACCTCTCAAGCTAGCTAGGAAATAGCACCTATTGGATAATAACTTTTAACTTCCATTAATTGCATTTGTGTATAAAAATTGTAAATAATTTATCATGGAAAATCAGTCAGTCAATCTCCCATTTTATGGGTCTGGATTTCACTTCTAGTCAAGAGTAGATTGAAGAAGAAATATACTCCAGTCATCTGCAGTAGAAGAACTAGCATTGCCATTGCTTTGGATAATTCTCATATCAAAACATGTAAATCATTCTGTTTCAGAAAACTGGGTGGACTGCAAACTTCACAATGCAGAAGACTTTTATGAAAATTATAAATATTGTCATTGTAAATAACTTTTTAGATCCAAACAAAATAGCTGCTGTGTGGTGTATCATTGCAAGGTCTTTGTTTAGGAATTTAGTTTCAGCTCTTCACTTCATAACTTACAATTTTAATATTTATTAAGTCTAAGAGCAAGACAACTGTTCAATTGTAATGCAGTGGCTTGAAACCTACAATGTTACTTTTACATGCACTGTTTTTCTGCAAAATTGTACGCTTGATCCTGCAAACTGCTTGTATTTCACCAATATCATCCTAGACCCTAAATAACATCTGAAAATATTCCATGCATGCTTTAAAAAAATAACAACAAGAAACACAGGTTCAGTCAGCCACTGTAGGAAAAGACTTACAGTATGTCCTTGACTTTAGAAAATGATAACATTCATTAATTGTCTACCTTAACATTTCCTATAATGCTGACTTTGAATCATTCTTTTTAAAATTAGAAATGAGGTTTTTCATTTAAAGGATTATTTGTAAGCCACAGCTTGATTTAGACTTTCAGGGGCTTTCTATGTCTTCACTGTAGTTTTGTAGTTGACTGTGGTGTTAATTTAAAAGAAATAAATAGAATATAGCAACAAATCTGTCTGGAATTGCACGATTTGCTCTGTGTATATTGTAATTAAATGGATAGTATATCCTATGGCATGTATTGTCAAACATAGCCCATAGATATGAGGTTTATTTTTTAAAGTCTTTAAAATAGAAGGAAAAGGTGACAGGAAGCAGGGTTAAAGCATACTGTTTTGTGAGTGTTTTCTTTCGTTTGCTCAGATAGTCACATTATCTTGTGATTAGACAGCCTCTCCACAAAAAAATTTATGTAATTATCATTTGTGCCTGATGTGTTACAGTAAAATAGAAGTTGAAACCGAATGTCATAATTAAACTATTATTGATAGGCCAGCACTATGAAATATAATACAAAACATATAACATATTCCTTAGGAAAATTCAAGTTAACTATATGAAAGGAATGAATTCAGAGGAGGAGTTTTTGCCATTAATGATGATTATTAAAGATCAGAGATAGAATTAAATAGCATCACAAACTGCACAGTGACATGCATTCAAATTAATGCGAAAGCCAAATAAATGGCCTGAGGCTAACAGAGTTTGAATCCATGTTGCCTGTTATGCCTTTTTACTTAAACTGGGTCCATAAAAATTAAAAACAAGCAAACAACTCTTTACAGTTTTTGCCAACTCATACTCACCAGTACAAAGCAATGTAATTATCCCATTAATATGCTGCTGACATTAATTGGCATGATCAGGAATAGCGTACAAGGAAGCAATTCTTAAAAATGTTTGAAGCATTATGGATACGCTGCAAGACCATTTATTTATCAGTACAATGTCTCTTATTTTATTTTAATACTTATAATGAATTATATCCAGTTTGTTAAAATCATATTCTGATCCTTGAAACTATTTAAGGTTTACATTTGATAGGCATAATGGGGTTAGTAGTGAAATAGAAGAAACATTAACTTACATGGTCTTTCAGTGAAACCATAAAAAAAACTTTTTAATGACTTTGTAATAGAGTGGACAAAATCTAGGGTTTGTATGTTAATTCAATAACAATGGTACAGGGTATACAATTATATACATTATATATATGTATGAATGTATATATACTTAGGTTAAGAAACAAATGACTCACATTCCTGTAATATAAATGTTCATTGCTAGTTCCAGAATTGACCTATTTTCTCTGTACATAAATAAGCCCATATGTATGGAATCTCACATCTGTACAGGATGAAATGTATTAATGAAAAGGTTGGATCTCACTTTGCTGGGAAGACAATAGTTTAACTGATTCTTACAATGACTGTATGATCAGGGATGAGGTAGATTTTTTTCTTTTGTCTTTGCTCAAAGCCATAAATATATATACAAAGATTATTAATAAATTGAACAAAATATATACAATGAATATTTGATTTGATCTGATATGTTTATAGCCAAGCATGTCTTGTTCTACCATGAAATAGAGGGTGTATGCTTTATTCCTTTTGTAGCCCTAACTTCTGAATTAATATGCAGCTGATATAGGAAAACATGAGTAATTATGGAGAAAAGATGGGGGAGGTAATATCTTTTATTTGACCAACTTCTTCTGGTGAAAGACACAAGTGTTAAAGTTTGCACAGAGCTTTTCTTCAGTTCTGGGCTGTGGAAGCTTGAAAACTTGCCTCTTTCACCAATTTTTAGATCATTACATAAATCAGTGTTTCAATATAGAAACAAAAAACATTTTTATCATAAATCAGGCATCTGTGCCGTAAGCATTGTCTGATAAATTCCAGCAGATGTTATTAAAGCTGATGGCACTCTTTGTTGTGAGCTGCATATTTGTTGGATTTTGCTTTTGGTTAACAAATTGTCCAAAAGTAGATCATATGCATTTGGTAAGATACAAACCTATGTGAAGCCCGTGGGTTTTCACAAGCCACATCAAGTGCTACTTTGCATATTTAATATTCTGAATCTTTGTGGTGGGTCAGGTTTCTGGACCATGATTAGATGACAAAATCATTGTAGCATTGAAACTATCACAATAAGGTTGGATAGTATTGTACAGGAAAACAAGGTAGCAGTTGGATAATTGGATAGTTGTCTGCATTTTTTTTATAAAAGAAATAGCTGGCTATATATGAACCACCAGGCATAAAAATATATGGATTCCTTCCTTACTGAGGAAGAAAGGCACAACAGATTTATGGACCATTATATACTTTATATTTAATTTCCTCTTCACACAAACATCAAGGTCTGATTGTTAATAGGATGGGGGATGATGAGGAGGAAATGCCAAAGGATATCATCTAGGAACTTTCTCCAGATCATTCTGTATACAGAGAGGGAAGAGGGGCATCTGCACCCATCCACTGACAGAAGCACACATCCATCCTCAAAGCCTATGATTTCTGTAGAGTCTGTGCCCCTCCGTTGATTCAGGGCACTACTTCAATTTTTTTACAGCACAGCCCTTGATTATGGCTGTTCATGGACCCGTCTTATATAGCTGTTTGTTTTTCATGAGGAAAAGGGGATGTTGAAATGTTAATACAGCCACAGGTGCTAGTGTCCATGGGGCTGAGGAGGATCTCATTCCAGGTGTGAGGAGCATTGTCAAGTACTCAAGTCCAGGCCTACCAATAATCTGGGGGCTAAGGAGTAATGGCCTTCGGCACTTTAAATTGCTGCCAGGGCTACTCAGGGCAGCTTTGAGGACTGATCAGGTGTGTGCTGGGCAGTGCTGACTGCCCCCAGCCCCACTCCTCCTTGGAGTGTGTAGCTGCCCCTCACCTTGCCCAAGGGGCCAGTGAGGCTGTTGGCTCCCCTGCTCATGTCCCTCTTACATTTAATGTCTTAATTCCAACTCGCAGACGTACTTCATGAACTTGGGGTGGGGTGGAGATTTACTGTTAAATGTTCCATCATTTCCCATATATAGTTTTACAGCAATATTGCCTAAACTGAATGAAGTATAGTTACAAATTGATTTCTAGTTTTCTGATCTCTATTAATATACCTGGAGGAGAGTGTGAGAAAGGTCCATGAACTGTGTCCACCATGTTCACTTTGATCATGTTTGCTATTCATCACACATGTATTTTTCAGTTCAAACAATATCCTTCAGCAGCCTCCATTCAGTTTGAGCAGCTCAGAGTGACATGAATTACTGCTGAAGATGTGGCCCATGTCTCAGGAGCTTTGGGCCGAAAAACAAGCATTTATCTTCCCCACCCACAAAGTAGATACAACCCCCACAGAAGATATTGAATTGAATTTGAGTGATGTTATGCACACAAAAAATGGGACTCGCCTGCTGATCAGGTCTCCACAGGGGTTGTGGTTATGCTTCCTGAACAGCTATGGCATGGGATCCACTTCAGAGAGAATCTTTGGATCTGTAATCAGTTCTCTTCTATGTCTTTATTTGCAGGTCCTCTGAATCACCTGTTGGCCTGTGAGAATGACACCGAGGAGCCACTGTATGGTAGAGCACAACATATTATAATAACACCATTGAACCATTAATCATTAATTTGTTAGCAAGGAAGTATTTTTCCTCAGAGTCCTTGGCACCTTACACTGCAAACCGGTTATATATTCACTTTACACGTCTTTGCTATCTGGTACTCCTGACAACACTGTGGAGTAAATTCAGCTGTGGCAGATGCAGTTGCACTTTCTTCTGACTCACTTCAATCCCCCTCCCCATCCCCTCCCACAAAAAACCCAAGAAAACTATAAACTAACTGTTGATTTCAAAATCAAAACTACCTTCACTCATGGTATCAGGTGTATCTCTAAGGGGCCAAATTCTTAATACTGTTCTATGTAGGCTCTTTTGCACTACTCTTCATCACAGAACCTCCACATCTATGTTATGTTTCCCCAGGAAGGTGGCTTTAAACAAGACCCCTCATGGTTTCATTAGCATATCTGGGGAAGAATGTGTACCAGGTCCCAAAGAAACTGAACAATGATGGGAAGTTGGGAATCCTCCCTAGGATCTTAGGGTTGAGTCCATTTCTCTATTGACTGCTTAAATAAAAGTCTGCTTCAAGGATCTGAGTAATCTTTTTACCCACTAATCTTTACATCTGCCTTTGCTATTGAGTCTGCTGCCTCTGCCTTGCCTTAAATACTGTATCACTAATAGACTGCTGGCCAAGGAGGAAATAAATTTGAATCTGAAATTCAGGAAAAAAGCAATCTCATTAATTGATGATGCATAGGAACCAATTTTTCCTAAAATATGTAGAAAGAGCTTCCTCAGCATTTTAGACATGTACATTCAGCTGTTATCTGATGTTTTAAAAGCCACTGTTGCCAAATTCACAGCTGCTGGGTTTTGGAACATGGAGGTCCTGATCTTGACATAATAAGACAATAATCGCTGTCAGTGCCCAAAAGTGAGGGGCTGATGTGGTATATATGAATAATACCATGGCCTTCCACACCAGAAATGTGAGTAGCTTATATTGGGGAAGTCATATCTGATAGCAATTCAGCCATTAAATACAATTCCCCTGAAAGATGCTCATCAGCAGAACCTTACTTGAGCTAATTTATAAATTGAACTTGTTGTGCATTGCTTGTCCTCAGGGAAAAAAAATCCATGTGATTTCTTCTTTTGAGTTTTTGCTAAAGCAACAATCCATGGACAAAAGAGAAATGTATGATCTAAACCAAACTGAAGGTGGTGAAGAAGGTTGTGT